TATAATTAGTAATATAGGCTGACAGTCCGTCTCCGCTTATAATTGTTTTTCGAATGCAATGATTTATCATTGAATTCAAATTTAACACATCCATTGCTGTGGCCTACTTAATGATGAAATATACTCAAACCCTAGGTATTACATACAACAACAAAAAATTCCCTGAATTGTATTATCTTATATTTGATAAAATATGGTAAAGTTATAATGCACATTATATAATTTTATATTTTTAATAATTTAAGTATACTATTGATATTCAATAAAATACCAAATCGAAGTCCTGTGTAATTTATTATTATGTTCGTAATGAAATAATTTGAGATGCTGTAATCGAATTTTCAATTTTTATTGTCGTTAGATCGATGGACATTAGTACTAGATATAACGACTGAAGCTGATGATCGATTTTAGTAGTATAATTTATTCCGTTCATTGGGTATATTATTTTTTATTAATAGATAATACTAATGAAAAATAAACGGTTTTAACAGCGATTTGTGGTTGTTGTGTTTTGTAATTATCGATTTGACGTAGTATAATATGTTACGCGGAGATTGATGTACCTACGGTCATATTATAATAAAGTAAGAGCAATTTATTGGTATTTACCTTCAATTTTTTAACATCTATGTTATTGTTTAGTGTTTCATTTAATTTTTATATATTTGACAATTGTTTTTTTTAGTCATCAATACCTTTATATTATTATAATATTATTAATAGTGTTTATTACATTATTTACTATAGCAAATTTCACTACACATGAAACGATTGTAAGTTGTACAAACACCTTAGTGTTATTTAATAGGGTATAGCGATACTAAATGTAATGCAATTAATACAATTTGTAGGTATGCTTGTTTAATCTTTAGTTTTAAATATTCATCAATTAAGTAAGTGTTTTGTTTTAAAATATATTTTTCTTTGCATGATACATTATATACATTAATTAATACATATTTTATTAGCAATGTCAATTTATTAAGAAATTTGTGTACAAAAAAGGTTTGATTTTTTATCAAAATCCAATACCTACTAAAAACCACCAATATAGGTTTCTATTGTTAATACCTAGATACTGTATTTGACTATAAAATATTAATAATAATACAAATACTAAAATAATAATAAAAATATACTATAATAATAAGACTACAATCACATGGTTAGAGAGTTCATCCAGAAATAATATAACTTATCCTATCATTAAATCCCAATATTTCTAAAAAAACTAGTTAGTTGTGATATTATATAACTACTATATTAGAGTTACTTTATTTTGTTTTTTTAACTATAGTTTGTTATTGACGTAATGTTACGAAATATTTTTTGTACACATAAACATAAACAATGAACATACAATGAGTATAACACGAATTTGCACTGCAACTGTTAATTTTAAATTTAGAGTTCATTTATAGATTATTCTATCTACTTAAGCATTTAATAATTGTATCTTAATTTATATTTTTGTAGATCACATATTAAGACAAACTTTTAAGATCATTAAAACTTATGGCTAAACATGTTTAGACAATAGTAACTGTTCATATAGAAGCTATATGAGCCGTATAGGTAAACTGTAAACAATATACTATGATTCATACAATTATAGTTTGATTTAAAGTTTTCGAAGAACTTGAGTTAATAAATTATAATTACTATGAAATTCAAATAGTTGACTCTAAAAATTTAGATATGTATTTACAGAAGCTTAGTAAGCTTAATGATTGCTAATTAATGAATAATAAATACATTTTTTTTTAGAAATAATTAAAAATACTATGATTTGATGGTATAAGGTCAATGGTTGATTATCTGACACCGTTATACGTTGGCGTGTGGATCGATCATAGGTACAGCACAGCCTTAGATTATTCGGTAGTATTGATGTTGAACTGTGGCCAAAATTAGGTGTTAAATGACGTAGATTGAGTATAAAAGGTTAAGTACACTATTCTATTATAAAATAATTATTAATATTTTATTAATAAATTATAAATCACTATAGTAGATATTTAAGTTTATTATCTTATATTTTTAAACTTCATTCGTTGATTTATTATGATCAAAAATTTAGAACAACACAATTGTGCAAATAGGCAAATTCTTAGGGGGGAGCGGGTTCAGTTTTTCATATATTTATTTATATGCGTATTGTACTCAACCATATAGGAAAGAGTCAGGAAAAATTTGTTAAGTAAGTATAAATAAGTACGGACGTTCAACTGAACCCAAACGGCCTACAATCAAATTGCTGAGTGTCTTAACCAACAAGGTTAATAAGCCAACATGACAAAAAGCCGACATTATTATAAATAACTTGATATATCAACTTGATAATATTTTTCTCTAAGAAATTATTTTATGTGATTAACGGTCCCAATATGTTATCATTTACGAATGATTTGACGTTTGACCACAGATTCCTAGTTATATACTCTGTATAGTCTGTAGATAAAATTGTAATCTTATTTTTAGTGGTTATCGATTGGTGCACACTTGAATGAACGACTGTAAAGATACTTTTATAGTTGAATCGTTGCTCCACATTGCAAAAAGCGTCTAAACATCGAAAGTGGCAAACAATTACAAAATATATTATCTTAGTATCACATAAAATCAGGATTAGTAAGATTTGTATCTAGGAGGATATCCATAAGTCTCTCCGGAGTTTGTTTAAGTACTTGCACATAGAATCTTGATCCTTGAAAACGAAAATAAAATAGAATTAATTTAAATAAAATAATTTTTATTGGTCAAGACATTCAGTCACACTAAATTACGAAAATTCTATGTTATATACTTATATATGGGGGTAGAGAGTCTAAAGATAATGAAAAATATTGTTTAGAAAATTCCCCCCCCCCTCAAAAAAAAGACCATTTATACTAGAAAACATTTTCGTGCTGGGAGGGTGACTTAAATTGAGTTAAACCAAGTCTTTATGTATCATATTTGTAAATTTACGTTGATTAGTCAGTCATGATATCTTGTTTTTTAAATACAGATATACCTAACATGATTTATTAATTTTTTAAAAACATATTAGCTATGAAAAGGTACCTAAATTATATAATGTAAAATGAGATAAATATTTTTTTGTCAATTTATTTACTTTTCAGCATTTTAATTTATTGATTATATCTTCCAAATTTATAACCAATAGTCTATTATCCATATGCTTTAGATATTATATATTATTATAAAAAACTACTCATTTGAATTTAAATCTTGATATTATATCAATATTTTCAATAAAATCATCTATATTAATAGCTTATAAAAAAAAAGTGATTCTCATTTGAAAAAAAAATATACCTCGAAAGACTATGAATGACTTATAACATTTGAGTGACACTTTCTCGCAGGCGTTGTTTCTGCCTTCCACCTAACGTACAAGTGTACAACATACCAAATTTTTCTTTCAGTAGAACCAATTTTATGTTATTAGCTTAATATTTGAATGCGAGTTAACCTTTTTTTAAAACTTATTATGAAAGGTGAGATAATTACCTATCAGAGTTATTACGATTTTTTTCTTTTTTTAAACGAGTAAGATTTATGCATATAATAATATAAATATAATTTATAGTATATGATTTGCATCTTAAACTGTAATATTCAAGTATTATGCATGCGTACCTACCTACTTCAGACTATTTTTGTATATTATATATAACAAATTCAAGGCTTCAAGTAGAGTAAGATTACATAACAAGTTTAGTATAGTTTATTTATAAATTGAAATTTCCAAAATTTAGTCATTTTTAGAGTCTTATATTGTCCTTCAACCATTAATAAAATGCTTTAAAAAAATCAAATATTTTTGTATTTGTATTTTATTGTTGTAACCAATACATAGGTATTAATGTTTAAAATAAACATGTATTATTTCTGGATTTTTTTAATTTCGAGAATCTCAAATGTTATTAGTTAAAAATGGTGTTTTTATTTCACGAGAGGTTATAGCTTAAGAGGACGCTACCCATGCATTTGTTGTCTCCGTCTTATACATGTACGACATAGAACATTTTCGTTCACTAGTTTTGATATGAGATGAATTGACCTATTATCAAAGTTTTAGATAAGAATATTATCTATGATTAAGCGTTGGCGGATTTTTGGATATTTTAATTTTCAAGCGAGGTGCGAGCGTTTTTGATTTTTGTGTTATTTCAGATACTCGTATCTTGCTTGAGAATAAAAATATCGAAAATTTGCCAACGCTTAACCATAGACAATGTTCTTACCTAAAAGTTTAATAACACTTAAATTCACTCTAATATCAAAACTAACGGCATTTATTAACTATTCAGGTGTACTATTATTGAACGAAAATTTGCTATGTCGTAAGTTGCTAAGACGGAGACAACAAACGCGTGGGTATTAGCATCCTCTTAAGTGTTGAAATATATTAGTTTCACAATTTATGGTGATATTTCTAGTCAATAAATTCTTAGACTTATTTTTTTATATGATATATTTATTTTTGACATTAGAGTCATATGTATATAATTTTTAGTTTGATACCAAATTAATTCTACTGATTGACGAACCTGCGGTGGTAAAACCAAAAAACAACTATACGTCTATACGTCTATACAGTGTAACCTTGTTAGGCTGATAGAATACCAGTATGAAGAATTTCCAGAAAAAAACAAACAACAATAATAATGTGGATTTGTACCACTGTGAATCGAATGGTTATAAACAAGCCAATTATCATAGGTAGAAAGTCTTCATAATTATACTAAATATCTTATTATATTTTTTTTGTGATCATTGATAGTTAGAAAAACCTTAATACATACTTTATTATTTGGTATTAATAATATTAATCACTTATCTTACACTTGTTCGCGCAAACGTAAGCAAAGCGATACAATTACCTACTTTTAGCAGCTACGTCATTGTAATTTGTGGTGTATGTGTTATTTTTTTAAATAATAATAATAATTTTTTTTCATTTATGCCAATCTCTATAGTCATTAAATTACGTATTAATATATATTGTATACATTTAGAAAGTGATGTTTCGTTGAATTTTCATAGCTTTTGTACCCAATGTACTTTTCATTAAAATGCCCAACTAATATATTGAAAGAAGATGCACGGTATTATGAAAAAGTCCTAGAGGAAACCGTTTGGATCTATGTTTATGTTATATAACAATCCGGTTTACAGCGTTTGCGTTCCTATAAAACGAACTAGTGAATGCCTATAGTCCATACGTTAAACGCGGAGTTGTAGTCAGCAAGACATGACGCCGAGTTGACGCGATGAGTTGATAAATACAACGTGTTTTTCTTCATAATATTTTTATTAATAGATACAGACAATTTGGAAATAGTATTTCGTAAGTAGAATTAATTGTATTATCACATATAAGAATACTAATTGTTTGAAATTAAAGTTTTGGACCAAAATTATTTAATAATTTAATTTAGAGATACGCATTAAACACTATCTTATTGATTTAATTTAAATTACCTAATTCAGTTAATAATTGTTATTTAAATGAAAAATATTCTCTTTCATAGAAAACGTACATTTTTCAAAACTTTTAACTAGAAGTTCTAACGACTAAAACTATACAGCTTTATGTTATCAGATTTTATTGAAGCTTAGGATGGTTGTATAAGGGTCACATTATTTTTTAGACCCCCGAAAAGTGTTAGTGTTAGAAAACATATATTATTATGGTTCCAAATTAAGAGAAATAAAACGATAATTAATAACAGAATTACTATAGTTCACAAAAGTAAATACTATTTTGATATTTTTAATATTTAATTATTGATTAAAATATTAAGCTTGTTAGTGTTTAGTAAATAAATAATAATATATTATAATAGTATTATTAAAATATACACGGGTTTTGTTCGTACTCCCAAAAATAAATATACCTATTGCAAAAATAAGTTTAATATAATATACTTATTATGAAGATAAATTATAGTGATTTTATTATTTTTTACCGTAAATACTTATTATTTACATGGTGTTATTATTTTATGTTTACCCTACAAAGTTAACCTATAGGTACCATTGTACGAATTAAATAAAATAAAATAAATATTGTATTGCGCAATTTGAGGCATATTATTTGTGTAATATTTAATTATGTTTTGAGTATATAATGTTGATACTTAATCTTGGATATTAGAAAGTTCAGTTAGGTTATAGGTGTACCAGATCTTATATCATTAGTTGATGTAATTTGTCCATGCTCTTCCCCAAATATTTTTTGATCCAGGACTTCAAAAGTCGTAATATTGAAAACTTTTTTATTTAACATTTGTAGTCAATTTTCACTGAATGTATGTTTTAGAATTTTATATACACTATAAAATTTGACTCATGTTGAGCTATTTATAGGCAAATTAAATTTTCGTTTATCATAAGTTTTTTTTAAATTAATATAGAAAAAAAAATATTTCGCTCAATCAAAAAAACTTGAAAATGAAATACGAGGTTATTCGTCAGTTGTAGTTGGGGGTTAATTAAAAAAAAAAGTTGAGCGTAGTGCACAATAATTTTTTATGAGCGTCTGAATTTCAAATTCCAGAAAAAATACCTAAAAATCACGAAAATGTGCAAATTATTTTAAGTTAGAAATTTAAATAACATTTGTTTTATAAATCTTAGATTTTAAAATTTAATACAAGATTCCTTATATGTTTATTTAAAAAAAAAAAATAATAATTCCATCGGAAAGTCAAATAACATTTTTATGAGGGTATGAAATTGAAGTTTTTACAACATTGGACATTCATTCCATTTCTCATATAGCGATTTTCTTATTTTGTTTCAATTTAAAAACTAATAACTGCAGATACTTGAAACTTACACCATATGCTTATAATATCAATTCATATACTTGATTAAATTTTTTAAATTTTTTGACTCGTTTTGAGTAATTTATAGACATTTAAAATTTGTTTAGGTTTCTTTTCTATAGTTGTCAATAAAATGTTATTTGTTGGTTTAAAAAGCTTGAGAATCTAATACAAGGCTTTTGAAATATATTTGCAATATTAGTTGAAATAATATATTAAAAATGCATAGGCACGATTTTTTTTAAAAAGCATTTTAAGTTCAAATTTTGACAAAATTTACAAATAATTTTAAAGTTTAAAATTTTTTAAATATTCAACCTTTATTACTTGAAACTTTTAAAATGAATTACTATATACTATACACTCGACGACTTTTCAAATGTATTTTGTTTGGCAAAATTATCTGAATCTACTGCCTAGCACTTATGCTTATACTAGTAAAATAAATTACTTTAATTACTATAATATCATCAAAATATACTAAATTACTAAGTAATATTATAGACTGACAGGCCGTTTTCGCTCAGAATCGTTTTTTGTGCACAATGATTTTATATCATCGAATTCAAATTTAACACCTTCTATTACAGTAACTTATTTGTAACCTACTGTACAGCAGAGTGACATCCATTTACTCGCTTTTTACATTTTGGCTTCTATTGTAATTACTATTTTAATGTATTATTAATATGATAAACTCATTTATGGGATACAGTACGAGTTGTGGACGTAGGGTATCTATTTTATGGATACAATAGCTTACAACATAATATAGGTAGTGCTCGAATCGGAAAAATAAAAAAAATGGGTACTAACAGACTTGAAAAATTCCTGTTTCTTACAATGATAAAATTTAACCTAGCTCGTGTGTGTGTGTGTATGTGTGTGTGTATGTGTGTGTGAGGGGTTCACATAACTAAATACATGGAATGTGGATTATGTATGATTTCCATGTATATGAAATATGCCTATACGAGAGTCGCCTATATGCCTATATGCATGCCGATTTAATTTTTTTTTTATTATGGTGATAATAACAATTTTCATAGATAACATAACATTTCATCATGTTTTCCCATCACTCGGAATCCATATGCCTACTTAATATCAGGATCATATTTTGATTTATGCACGTATTTCGTGTATTTAGTTCAGTGGCGGGGGATTGCCCCCCTCATCGATCTCTGACAATAGGTAGTTGAAATATAATATATCTATACTATAGTAACATTTACCGCCAATTATAATAAATATTATTTTACTTGTCATTTATTAACATAAAAATGAATGGTTACAAAAAATTATGTTTTAACATTTCTAACTAATTAGGTAATTAATCGTAAATTGTTAAAATGATAAATAGATAAAGGACTTTGACCATGGATTAAGATATTACATTTACATCTGTAAATACGTCCGTGGTTTAGACTGCGTTATCAATCATCATAGGAAAAAATTAAAAGTAAATTAAAGTATCTTATTGAAATACGTTACAAATTTACGAAATAATAATTACAAAATTACAATATTATTTTATCAAAATAAAACGTTCCGTCTTACTGTTCTTATGAAAATAATTAGAACGGATGCTCTTAAAGTAAAAAAAAAAATTATGAGACGCTCCGTCCCCTTGTTTTCTCCTTTAATTTGAGTACTGATTACCTACTGAATATTGGTACAACACGTACTTTAGGTACAGGTAATTGTTAAACTCTTTAAGGAACATTAATTTATCTAAATTAGGTGTAATACACTAATATCCATAGGTATTGGTTATGTGCGAGAAGGTGACTTTATCGTAACATTTTCTACAAATTAACATATCTGTAACTTTAAAATAAATTAATTTTACAGAAGAGTTGACCCCAGAGCTTGACCAAATCAATTTTTGTTTTTGTGTAGAAATATCTACCTATAGGTGGGCCATCTATAATTGATACATAGAAAAAATTGCAATACAACTCATGTTCATACAATGTTTGGTTTAGTTTCATGAATGCATACCATTAATAAATCAAAGAATGAAATATTTTACCATTTTATATTAGTAGATACCTATTTAAATTTAAACTTTTAACACGTTCCTTGACTACGCAGTAAGCACATTCCTAATCAGGCGCCACACGCTGCATAATTGCTGATAAGATTCTATTTTCTACAGGTTAGGTTTTTAACAGGGAATACCGTCCAATATTGTTTTCCCAAATACTAAAAGGTCGTGATAAATATTAAAGCAGTGTCCGAGTGTTCCACCAGGCGAACGATTTATAAACACAGGTATTTATATAAATATATAGGTAGCAGTATATATATTGCTGTTAATAATATAATATAATGATAGGTCACTGCCACCCAGTCGTGATTTGCAGTGATGGTAGGTAAACTTGTTAAATCGGTTAAAAGTATATTATAATCAGATTAGATTCTCACACGAGTTATAGACTTATAGTAAACAAATTATTAGTTTGAAGTAATTTAAATAGTAAAGAATGAATTAAGTTTAAAATTTTTGTTTAAAAAAACAAATGTTTTGCCATCATTTTCTAACGTATCATATAAATATATTTTTTTAACTAGCTATGCTCAATAATTAATTATAGTTAAACTACTTACACAATGTAAACGTAATCGAAACAAATATTGAATCATTACCAATAAAACATGAGGAACCGGTTTCACCCAAATTTGCTTTTTATAGAAATTCAGCAATAATTCATTACGAAACATATTTATATTATTATTATTACAATTTTAAAATTAACTTGTTTTAAATTAAAACATATATTAAAACTTTTAATTTAGTATGTACCGTCCAAGGTCCATTGCAAATGGTACCTTAGTTATAATCTCACATGCTTAGAAAAGAGATGACATTTTTTGTTTTATATGCCCGGAGATAATATTCAATTTGTATAGTAGAATTTAAATAATTTTCAATCATCAGTTTAGATCAATCTAGAATCATCAGAAAAATTTGTATTCGTTGATAGTTTGGAGGTAAAAAGTAAAAAATGTTCGGTACAGTAAATCTGGTTTTTACAATTTTTGAAATCTTATTATTTTTGTTAAGATGTAATGTTGACCCATTCGTAGAAAAACATTTCAAATTTAAACTTAAAAACTTTTTTTAAAAAATATTTTACGAGTATTTTTTAGTTAAATCTAAATATTTTTTTTAAGTTATTACTAGGGAACAGGTTTTAGTTTAGTAAAAAATGAAAAATATTTAAATATATATTTGTTTATTACTTAATAAATATTTAAATAGAAAATAAGATATAATAATTTACTATAATTTATGAATAAGGTATTTAGGTACGTAGTATCTAGTTTACTATAATTTATGAATAAGGTATATAGGTACGTAGTACAAACATAAAAATTGTTATCCTGAATCATCAGAATATTCTTCGTGGGAGAAATAGATTAGAACGACAAATAATTTGAGATTTTCAAATTTCAAATTACGGCGATTCGATCTTAGTATTACCTTATAACGGCTAAATGACCTCTCCCACATTCACGGAAGTGACAGGTGCATATTTCATGTGTTAATTCTTTTGGATTGCACTCTATTTTTGAATTGTTTTTTGGAGTTTTGTTTAATAGTATTTCTCTAATTGACATTACAGTTTTAAATCCTGTATTTTTTCCAATATGTTTTGTAATTTAGAGTTTGAAAAAACTCTTTTCGTCCATCGTAAGTACTAAAATAAAAACGGAAATTCTACCATAATGCAGATTACGTATATTTATTTGTATAATATTTAATTATTATTTATTTATTTGTAAAATATTTAAAAATATTTAACTATACTAAAATATTTAAAAATATTTAAAATAAAATTAGCATTAGTTTATTGAAAATTAAATGTAAACATACACAATTAAACGTACACACATGTCAACAACTTTTTGATACTAAAACTACATACCTACAAATATTTATTTAAATTAAAATTCGTTCCTTAGTTATTACTTTTAAAATTAATGAATCTTCCTTAAAAACATTTGGGTATTTTAAAAAATCATATAAAATAAACTACATGACTTAAATAAATGTTTTTACAAAACAAATTAACAAATTGGCTATTTAAAAATAAAAAATATAAAATTTTATATCATTGCAGAGTCAATAAATTTTAAATAAAAATTTTTAGATTAAAACCAATGTTATTTCATTTGTTAGGCTTCCAATTATATCCTATAATATATTGATATGTATACAACTAAATATAAGAGTCTTCATTGTGAAGTCTGAAATATTATACGATTTTTGCTTTCTTATGCCTACACCATGTGAGATTATGTTACACAATATAATATATAAGTTACAAATTGTCGAGCTATTGATGTAGACCAGTAAACATATAAATATAAAAATCGAAAAAATAAAATAGGTGAATACTGCTCGCAAATCGCTATTATGACGATGAACAAACACAAGGCAATGGAGTGCCCTCCGATTAACAACGCCGATATGAATGGAGACGAGTGGCGAAAAATGAGCTTCACGTCCAAGGCGGCGCACTTGGCCCGGAACGTGACGGTAGAACCGTTGTTGGCGTTCTTCCAGCTATCCATGATCATATCCAGCCTGACCACGCAAAACCTGAACATGCAAAAGGCTTGTCGGGTAAACCTCGGTCTGGGCGATAAGGTGTGTTTTGCCCTGGAGAACAAGAACGCCTCGTTTTACCGTGACGAAGAAATGTCAGTGCAGCTGCTAGTGACCAAGATGATGCTCTGGCAGAGCCCTTTCCAGAACATGGTACCGTGCTTCCTGGTCATGTTCGTCGGCTCGTGGAGCGACCGGAACCAGAAGCGAAAACCGCTCATGCTGTTACCAATACTCGGTGAACTGGTGCGCAACGTCGGCCTGGTCATTTGCGTGTACTTCTTCAAGGAGCTGCCTATGGAGGTAGCAGGTTTCGTCGAGTCGGTCCCATCGGCAGTTACCGGTGGCTTACCGGTACTGATGGTCGCTATATTCGCGTTCGTGGGCGACATAAGCACGGTGATTTTATTATAATGTTATCTTGTAAGTAATAGGTATATAGGCTAGCTACGTGTATCTGGCGGGTTTGACGAGTGCACATTTCAATTGTTATTTTACCCGTTAAATCCTCTTATGTCTATACATCCTCTATTTGCGAATAGTTAAGTGTATAAGTTGTACGGCGGATAAATCAACGTGTAAGGTTATCACCTATTCGCGTTGTATTATAATTCATAGTAGATAGATAAACCATAAACCATAGACCTTATATTAAATATACTTACATACTTATACTCAGTAAAAGGTCTATGCTAGGTACACCTAATAATATGGCAGTAAACATTTTCCATGTATCATAATAAATACACAGAACTGTTACATTTTGAAATGTTGGTGAAATTTTTTAATTTAATAATATTATGGATTTGTTTAAGACTGGCTTACTATTGAATTTAATTTACTTAAAATTTACGAGTAATATTATCAAAATTAAATCTTTAAAAATACCATTCGCACAAAACTACAAATCCGAACATTACTATTAACAAATTTTATTTTGTTTAAAAATAGAATATATTAAAACATTGGATATTTTTGTTTTAGCAATTTTTTTCACTATGGCATTTTTTCTCCGCCAATGTTTTCTTGCAGTTACATATGAATAATTCATATTTTGATCATAATAAATGGGTATGAAGTGAAGTGCAGTTTGGAGGGACTTTGATCATAGCATTTGCGACTTTTGGACATTGTTTTCGTGCGTAAATTCGTAATCTCTAATTAAAAGTATCTTATACTTCTACCCTTTTCATAGTAGTTTATTATTAATATACACATTAAACCTACAAATACAATTACGTGTACAAAGATATTGAACATTAGTGTGCGAAACAATATATAATATTTTGTTCGATGCATACAATTTTTAACTTGTATATTATATCGTTCTAGGTTAAAAATAGAACTGTTCGAGTTGGCTTCGTAAGTTTAATATTTTCGATCACTATCACCATTGGAACAGCGTTATCCGGTATCATGTTTCGAGATTACGGGTTTTACGGAGTGTACTTTATATCCACTGTATTGTATTTGTTCAGCTTCATATACTGTATAATTGTCATCAAAGATGTTAAGCCTGACGTGGTAGAAAAATACCATGAGCCCAATATTGCCATTGGATACCACAAAAAATCAGTTTTTCGTTCCATAACCGATTTCTTTAACTTGAAACACGTAAAAGAAGCTCTTCGAGTTACATTTAAGCGAGGAGACGACAATAACAGAAGAACGGACATTATATTGTTGTTTGTTATCATGGTCATTATTATGGGTCCTCTAAGTGGTTTGTATAATAAATTATTATTTTATGAGCTTATGATATAGTCGATATAAAATATATTAATTTAGTAAAATATGTTATTATATAATATGTTAAATATTATTTAATTTGTGGAAAATAAAAAAGGTTATGCACGTAGGTAGCCAAAAACTAAAATGTTTGGTATAAATGTATTATATCTAAAATAGTATTTTTTAGATAGGTACAATAATTTAGATTTTTTTATAATTTACGAGCTTAGCTTACTAACCCCACTTTTGCCTAGTATAAATGTTAACTAAGGAAAAAACAAATTGAGTATCTGAAATAAATTAATCAATAAAAATAAACCATTTTTCATTAGTTTAGTAATTTTTTTTGGGTTAGGTATCTTTAAACGCGATGAACAGACTTCATGATGATTCATGACAGATGATTCCATATCCGAATGAGTTATAATAGCAATTTAGGGTTCAGCAGAACAAATTTTGTGTCATTAGCGATTAGCTTTAATGTTAAAGTGAATTTAAATGAAAGTAAAGGTAAAGGTAAAGATAAAAATATTATCAAAGCATCATAATCTTGTAAGCTTTTCATGATATTCAATCTTTAAAGCGAGTTATGAGCATTTTAAAGTTGTAATATTTTACATAGTTTTAACTTAATTGAAACTTAAAATATAAATAAAAGCCTGGTGGTGTCGTAGATAATGTTCTTACCTAGAAGTTTGATAATAGGTCAATTTTCTTTTTTTTATTAAAGCTAACAAGATAAAATTGGTTCATATATTTTTTTTATAATTAAAATAGTTAATATTTAATATTAAATATAATTTTTTAAGACATTAACTGCATAGTTATTAGCCAGTTTTAGTGTGGGAGGATACAGATGGTCTGGAAAACGTGTGTAGTATTAAATATTAGTCATCCCAATTCCCAAATATGAATATTCTCTATTCGATAGTTATAAAATGTTATCCTTTTACTTTATTTTTTGTTACACAAAATTATATTTTATTTGAGTCTGTTGTATCACGTTTGTTTTCAGTTCAAATTATTTTAATATAATAATATATGAGTATAACTATAGATATATATTAAAAATAAATAATTAGGTATGTTTTTACTTGGTGAAATCTATATTTTTATAAAAAGTTATTTACGAAATAGAATAGATAAATTGTAAATACAATAGTAAGAATAGTATACTATGTGTATACTTTATAACCGTTTTTACACTTAAAATTTCATTTACAAAGTGAAATAAAATATTTACCATATGTAGTTAATATTATATTTATTTCACAATATAAATGAAATTTTAAGTGTAAAAACCGTTATAAAGTACACACGTAGTATACTCTTCCTATTATTGTATTTACATTCATATCATATGTAATAGCTTGCAAGATCTTAAACATATCATTACATTTTTTAAATTTATTTATTTAAAAATCAATTAAGATATACATAGTAATATTTAACTTACTATAAATTTAAAAATGTAGTCATACTGAATCAACATATTGAAAATATAAGTACTTATAAACTAGTCACTAATTATGTATAACTTAAAGTATCTTTAAATAAATACAACTTAAATGTATAAATATTAAATATATAATATTTTTATGGCATTAAATATTACATGAATAAATAATTTTTTAAAAGGGGAGAGTAGATAATCGCTCAGCTGTACAGTAGGTATCAAGTGAACTTCACTCGACATTGAGTACCTAAGTCAATGTAATTTATATTTTGTTAAATTTGAATTCAATGATAAACGTTGAATACGAAAACCAGTTCCGAGCAATGATGGTCTTTCAGCCTTTATTACTAAGTGTACTTTAATAAAGTGCTGATAATATGATACTATGATATATTTATATTGCTACTATGGTAATTTTTTTTTCTATTATATTATTATGGTAAATTGAATTGACATTTGCCAAAATACAATTAGTATAATTGTAAAATACTAAAATCAATATACATTCATCGCATCTATCTTAAAGAATATCCGTGTACCCAAACGTTTTTATCGTACATGAGTTCATAAAATGAATACAATTACACCACCTACCTATATCAAATTGGAAAGACTATTTCTTGAAAAAGTGACCATTTCGATAAATAATGTAGTACTTATTTCGCAAAATTGCGCAACAAGTTATAAAAATTTAGAAAGTTAGCATTCTTATAGAGTGCTCAGTTTTTTCTTGAACGGTTTATAAATATTATCGCTCTACTGTTGTACGGTAATCAAAATTGACTTAACATTGAATTAATTTCAAATTATTTAAGTAATTATTTTCCTAATAATTAAATAACTTGCGTTGAACATTGAGTTTTGCATCGAGTAAAGAATTTGTGATTTAATGTGGGCAAAAACTTGTTTCAGGTGAACAAACATTGATGTATTTGTTGGTACGAGTTAAATTCAATTGGAATGAAGTAGATTTCAGTTTTTTCTCCACGTATTACTTTATTTGTAATCTCGTAGGTAAATTAAATTAATATGTTCTATAACAATCACATTATATAAGTATACAATATTAGGCAATAGTCATCAAAGACTAAAGACAAGTGCGTATTATTAAATTCCAGGTATTGGATTTACATTGTGGATTCTGGTTAATCGTTTTGGTATTGACGACAGACTGCTGGGAGCAATCGGATGTCTGAGCAAAGGATTAGCTTCATTCGTCTACGCCTGTGCCCCGACCGAATTCTTATTCTACCTAGGTGAATATTATGCAATTAGCTATAAATTATATCCATATGAATAAATAATATAATACGTACCTAATAATTAATATAGAACATTTGATATGATTATAAAACTAATATTTTTTTTTAATGTTTTTTAACTAATATTTTGAATGAATATATTTATTTCAGGCCCGATTGTGGACATTTTCCATGGTACATCACTTGTTGCATTTAGGTCGATACTCTCAAAACTTGTTCCTGCAAACCAACTAGGTATGTAATAAATTATATACATAATAATTATGAATTAATTTTTGTGTCACACGCTCAAACATGTTGTTATGATTTTTAAATATATAAGTATTAAGTATACATTAACAGTAATTTGTTTTGTATTGTATGCAGGTCAGGCGTTGGCGGTATCTTCACTCATCGAAACTATAGTTCCTGCAATATTCAGACCTCTCTACAATGTGATTTATTATAAAACAATACACTTTCTACCTGGAGCATTTTACTTACTCGGGGGAATGCTCAATGTTTCCGGCATCTTTGTTTTTCTGTGAGTTAATTGTCTTTATGGTTTATACACGACTAGCTGTCCCGTCACGGCTTTGCCCGTGTATTAAAAAACCATATAAAACAAACCCTCTTTACCCCCTTAGAGGTCGGAATTTAAAAAACCCTTTCTTAGTGCGCTCCTACATTGCTTAAGTAACCTCTGTACAAAATTTAAAGTCTCTAGACCTAGTGGTTTGGTCTCGGCGTTGGTGAGTGAATATTGGCGGTCTCCTATATGTATATAGATATCTTATATTTTATAAGTTCAACTGTAAAATAATTCGTTAAGTACCTACAACTGTATTAAAACAAATAAATAATTAATTGTTTTTTGTTTAATTAGCTTAATTACCTGACTTCATCTGTGTATGTAAAATTCTTAAACCAACAAACGTTGGTGGTTAAAAAATTAAGAAAGTTGCGATTAAAATTTAATTATTTATTTAGTTATTAATTAAAATAAACGTGCAAATTGTATACCTTTACACATATATTGTATGGCACGGCGGCCCGCGGGTGACTTAAGTTTGTTTACAATTTTAATCGTGATTGTTTAAACTAACCGTGATGAACAAACACTTATCAAAAAACTAACAGTAAAATGTTTCATTAATTTTCCGATTGATTCCACTGTGAAACGAGCACTAAGAAATTATAAATTAACTGTTCTATATCACAGATAGAAGATAGATTATACATTATGCAATAAGATTTAAACAAAATTACAGTTGTATTTTTGAGATATCAAACCACTAGTATTGAATGCCCATATCATCGTATGTTAAACTCCATGGAAATATTATAAATAATAATAAAGTTGGATTTTATACTAGAAATATAACCATAGGGTTGTTCTATTCGTTTATGAAATAGATAGGTTTAATATATGAAATGGTAACAAAGCATCGTCACTAAGCAATATTTATTATTTAAAAACTATAGTCTACGAGTATAGTAGGGATAATAATAAAATTTCCATGAAAAATTATAAATGTATAGGTGCAAAAATAAAACAAAATAAATTGTTGGCATTATTTTGTCATTATAGTTGTCACTTATCCCCAGATAAATTATTAAGATAATCTAAAACTAACCGTTCCAAGTTTTAAATAGACTTAAATACTTAACTTCAATCGACAAATTTAAGGTTTTTACATGCGTTATGTCACTCATTTTACTAAAAAAGGATGATTATAGAAAAAAACCATCTCAGTATAATATAATATATAATTTTCCTTTCCCCATTAAACGTATTAAAAATTGTTTTGAAATATAATTTGAAAACATCTATAATTTACAGTAGGCACACGAAGTATTAGTCGTAAAATTGTCATAAATACCTATATTATTATTAAATTCGTATTAAATATGATACATATCTAACACAAGTTTATAGGACTAGGATTTATAACTTTTTTTTAAGTACCTATTATTTAAAGTATTTAAAATTAAATGATAAAAATCAACGTAAATTCAAAAAAATTGTATTAAATACCATTGATCAGCTTCTCTACAGCCAAGAAACGTCGTATGAAATGCCAAATACAATAATGCGCCACATTCTAATATTATACCTCATTTATCATTTAAATGCAAATCATTAACCGCAGCAATTTAATGCGAATTGCATTTATAGTACCATTTATTAATTATATACACAGTATTATACTTATACGCAGTTTAGAACGCCGAGTACATTATATTAATTATATAATTACAAAATTGCATTTTATTAGTAATAACTAATAACTACCTAGGTACAGAAATACTGAAATGAGCATTGCAAAGAGAAAGTTATTTTATCAGATCCAATAAAAGTTAATAATAATTAATATGAAGTAAATATTTATTTACTGATTTTATATTCAGATGGATGTACAACCGTACAAAAGGAAGAACGTAAACATGAAAATCTCAGAAAGTCTAAAGTTACAAAACTGATTTAACTATAAAGGTTCTCATCACATTGGATTCCCGCAAGACTTTTATACCAACTTCCCTTTTCATGTATTATATTTTTTTTTAAATCATAATTTTATCATATTATTTTAAACGCATATTTTTTCTTGGACGAAAAAGTATAATTATATTAATCTTTTTACTGCCTATTTAATTAAATTTTACTAACTTGTGGTCATTTTAAAAATGCATGGTAATGTCCATTTAGAATTTATTATTCTTCAATGGTGATAGTCTAGTACAACCGTACATACAATTATGTATATTAATTATTCATCTAGGTACTATTATTAAATAAAATTCTGTTAATTTAACTTTTTATATAATTTGTAAAATATATTTTAGATGGATGTACAAAAAACACAAACAAAATGAAAAATGTGAAGACTTTGAAGAGAAACAAGCCTTATCAGGAGAGCCTAACAGTCAAAATCTGTAAAATTACACTGAAATGTACAAAAAAAATATATTGTTTTAAATTATTTTATCATGTAGAATAGTTAATTTATTTCCCATACACTTTTTTTATTGTATATTATTTTACTAGTAAATATTAGATACTTGTGCAAGCCAATTTTATTTATAAGTATTTATATTACTTCAATTTATATTAGCTAAGTTAAAAACACCTTTGCTAGAACCAATTTTGGTGAGTTTAAATTAGGTTTTACTTGTTGAATATTTTATAATTTATATTCGCACACTCATAATATATTGTTAATTGTTATCGTTAGAAATATAAATATTAAACGCTAGAATTTAAGTTTTTATTTCACATCGTATTTGATTCTAAGGGTGACCGCACACTGGTAAAGCAAAATTGACTGAAGAAATGTAAGTCATATTTAGTCATTTTGCTTTAGTCATAATAAAGCACTGTTGTCGCACACTAGATAAAACATAGTTAGTCAAATCAAAGTATATCAAGTAGTTGTCAAAATGTCGTCCGATTCTTTCAAATTAAACTCCATATCATTGAGATTGCTGAATGATGATTTTAAAATTATTGTTGGACTTGGTATAGTTTTCGACGTAGCACAGTTGAAACATAGTAGTTTTTACGAAAATTATAAGGAGTTGTGAGTTGTATACAGCAAATAGGTACATAAGACTGCGAGTAATGAAAGCTGCATTACTATTTTCTTTTTTAGATGGGGTGAAATTTGTGAAGTTGAAATTTTGAAAAATATTCCAAAATATGCAAATTAACCACAATAACGTAAAAATAAGCGGTTTCCGGCAAAATGTATGAACTATGCTCAATATGCACATTCAAATTTTAGATTTGGTATGAATTTATTTCGCTCTCTCCTACATTTTACAATAAATATAAAAAGTAAAGTTTTTTCCCCCTTCACTTACCTTAATGTGAGAGCCTTAGTTAGGTACCTACACGGCTGTATATATATTACATTATTTATTACACTATAGTGTAGTAGTATAATATAATCACAAAATTTTTTAGCAAATACTGCCCACTATTATAGAATAATATTGTTTGATAACATATTAATGCCGAGCCCAGAGAGAATATTATATTCACGATTAAAGTATCCATTTTTTTTATTACTTCTGTAAATGTATAAGCTTAATTTTGAATTTTTTTCATGTCTCGACACCTCTAGAGTTTTATATTAAGTTATAGTTTAACCGTTAAGACTAAAAACAATACTGTGAGATGCCGGACAAAAAAATGGACGGTAGTGTATCTAAATGGGGAATAGTAAGTTCCTACACGAGAGTAGCAGGTAAACAATTACATACGTTACTTCCTACACGGACATAATTATGTAAGTTCCTACACGGTAAAAAACGGGTACGTATGTTAGTTCCTACACTGCGGAAAGGATTAAATATGTATATTATACACAGACGTATCGTTTTAATAATAATATGTCCAGCCGTAGCTTACTAATATACATTCAGTTAATATATTTCATTTATAGCAAAACGTATACAAAATTAGGGGAAAATACGATAATATACGGGAAATATTATATTTTTTAATCATCATAATATATTTGTTTTTTTAGATTCGTATATACATTGTGTATGATATACATATTTAACCCTTTCCGCAGCAATTAACATACGTATCTGGTTTATACAGTGTAGGAACTTACATTATGTACCTTTTTCCGTCGTGTAGGAACTAACGTATGTATTTTGTGTACCTGCTACTCTCGTGTAGAAACTTACATTCGCCCATCTCCATGGCCTGTACTCAGAGTTCCGTGTTCTGAATTGTATAGATTTAACACTCCCAATAATATTATGTTTCGCAATCTGAAATAAAAAATGTATCGTGTCATCCAAAGAATTCAAAAACGCGAAAACTGATAACAACATATTATATATTATAATATCTATCATCTATGGTGAAAGCCGATCGTCGTCACTCGTTGGGGACGATTCACAATTCTAATAATTTCATTGAACCAAAGAAGAAATGTGTAAGGCAACAATAAACATTTGCTCACATATTTCATTCTACTCAAGTAATTTTTTTAAAAAATATCGAAGAAGTTCCTCGATATGGCTTCTGCACTCAAGATATGGCCTTGCAGCTATATATTACCCGAAGAGTCGATGTATACGTAAGTTTGATTACCTATTCTTTTGGGGCTTACATATTTTACTTTTTAGTCTCAAATTCAAAATTTATTGCCACAGACAATTTGCTACCCGGGTAAAGCAGGGGCATTCCCGAGCGTGCAACACAAAAAAATACGCTTAGGTATAGCACAAACGACGACGGCATATCCAGGTCGCAGAATAATAACATATTTATACAATTAAATAGTGTTGTACATACTAGTCATACTACAGTAGTACAGTACATGGCAGTTCTTATGTCCCTCAAAATTCAACAATTTTTATTTTTAGTTTATATACATATTAAATAATATATGAGTATTACTATGCCGTCTGCATATGGTCGAACCGCGAATTAAAGTGACGTCGCCGTACTTCAAACATCAAATTATTTTATAAAGCTGGGATAGTCGTTCTGCTGATTATTGAATATCCATCGGAAATTAAATAATTTAATTTTTAATATTCTCGAATAGCTTAAAATATACCTAACCATTGTATTCAAAATTAATACATAAAATATTAATTATTAATTTCGTGCTCGACAGTATTCAGACAAAAGATTTGACTTGGAATTTCACAAACTATAGTTGGTATAGTCTGTATACGGTAAATGTGATGCATTAGGCACTGAATACCTTTATGTTAAATCTAAAAAGTAGTAATCACATTTATTACAATAAGATTTGTATTTAATAACTCATAAATAAATATGCTTGTTCTTCGAATATTTAAACACCACCTTTATTAATTATTAAATTAAAAATTAAAATAATAGGTACTTTATATATTTTTGTAATTTAAATTTTAAAATTATAAACTATTTTGGTTATTGTCATACCTCATTTCATTATCTTAATGATCAAATCTCAAGCACGGACCTCCTTGATATACAATTTTGTAATATACTATATATCTATGGTTTTATCATATTGACGTAGTATAAATTATAATGCAATCCGTGGTGATTGTCAAAGTAGTTGCAAAGACGCAATCGATCTAAAATTTCAGTTAGCAAAGCTGCAGACATGAACCAGGAACATGAAGCGATCCGTACGGTTTTTTTTTTTCATGATAAATTTTAATATTTTCAGACTTAAGTTCAGTCGTGATCTGATTTATTCCGCAGTGCACACACAATATCAGGAATTCAGCCGAAGCCCGAAAGCGTCGATGTTTAAAGTAATTAATTTTAGTTTCATACTTTTTTGGTGCTTAAATTTATTTTTTAAACAAAAAATTTAATTTCATGAAAAATATGCTACCCCTATGTACACACATATTATTTTATTTCTGAGAGCAAATGCATAAAATACGAGAGATCAAATAATATACAAACGCCGCTCGTCGTCGTCGTTTTTCTGCTCCCTGATCGTAGGGTAATTTTATAATTATAACCTATTTTTAAGTACCTACTGAGAAATATACATTTATTAAATGGTTTAATTTATAAATACTCGTTATAAGTGATTACTCATAAGACACAATTTTAATTTATAACTTATAATTTTTTTTTAAATCCTAAGTTAGCAGTTACAGGACTCTATTAATTTAGTGTTATATTATATATTTCTTTGTTCTATTACATATTAATATAACATTATATTATAGTTGTATCTAAAAACCAAAAATGTTCACAGAGTGGTAAACTCACTATCCTAACCAGTAATCAACTTGCACGAGTGATTATGAAAAACATTATACTTTTATACTAGTATCTTTATATAATATAATAAATAGTAATGAAATAAATAGATAAATTGATAAATTGTTCAATTAAAAAAAAGAGACATCTCTTATTACTATAGTTGACTTTCGTGCCAATGTACCAACATATATTTTTTTTTACTCTTTCACATATAAAATTACATGTGGTTTCATTTTTATTGAACTAGGGGTACTTTTAATTTTTTTTGAAAAATCATTGTACACTTGTCATCTATTTACACGTCGTACATACGCTACATAATGATCATGTCCATAAGAATTTATTTTTTTATTTTTTTTGTTTCTGTCATTACGTTATTCTGGGAGAGTATAAGTGCTTAGATTTTCTTCAACAACCATCTTTTCTGGTAGAAATGTGAATAGTATCGGTACATCAAGGGGTCAAAAGTAAAAAATTCTCAATATAGTTTTCAAAAGCGGCAGGAAAAACAAACAAAAAATTAAGGAAAAAAGCGAATTTTTACGGAAACCCGGTTTTCAACAAAATCTATTTTTTTTTTTGATGCAACTCTCAAAAAAAAAAAAAAATACCGTAGATATACATGAAATTTTTACTGAATATTTATAACCGCGGTTTCTATAAACCATACAATTTTAACATTTAATTTTTATAAGCATTTGAATTTTGAATTTTGTCAAAATAAGTAAAAGTCACGAAAATGTGCAAAATATTTTGAGTTAGAAATTCATAAAAATGTTTCGTTTTATACCTAAGTTTTTAAAACCTAGTACATGATTCCTTATAAGTTTGTCTACCTTTATCAAAAAAAAAAATTCTACCGGAAAGTCAAATTTAAAATTTTTATAAACATTTGAAGTTG